TTAATTTTTGCGCAACAACATGATGTGTCCCTTATTGATCCAAGGTTCTTGCAAAAGCCCTATAGTTCCCTGTACTCCCCTGAGCTCGTTAGTGGCTGCTTGAGAATGGTGGAGGTTCATTTGGATGCAATGGGTGCCCTAGTTAAGGTGGTTTCAGGTTTTGTTGTCCATAATTTATTTGTACGCTGTATGTATTATTTCTAGGATTCTGTATATGAAATGTACATAAGTATCATAATCATATTATTTGCGAAATTCCTGCAAGTATATTAATGCGTCCATTCGTCTTCCACACAACGCGTTAGGTACTTCTCGTATCCCGCTTCCGCTCTGATATGCACCGATTGGTTCCTATCGAATTGTGAAAAGGTGATTTAGTGGTGATTTGGATCGCAGCTATTAATGGATTTTTTAAAAGACGTCAGTTTGTAGAACGTTCCTTTTAAAGGGATCAATATCCATCATTTTAGCACCCTGGGTGAATTTGGTTCTCTTGTGGAGTTGCTGTACTCACTCATCGACTTTCGTCGGATTAAAGTGATCGATTCAAGGATAAAAATTACTCCATTTTATTGAAAATTGGAAGATCAGCCATTCTTGGAAAATTAACAAACTTCTATTGAAGCTGAAAATTCACACTTTACATTCCAGTATGGTAGCAAGGTTGTACCAAGAGTGTATGTGGTCATACCCCTAAAAGCAGTAACTCCATAGGTCCAGGGGCCTTATTCTGTAAAGAACAAACCGTTCGATTCGGTAGAATTTCTTCGATTGTGACGTCATTTTCGGTTTGCTAGCGCGAAAGCTATTCCGAAAATGCCGAAAATGACGTCACAATCGAAGAAATTCTACCGAATCGAACGGTTCGTTCTTTACAGAATAAGGCCCCTGGCCTCGTTAGCTCGTTATACTCACGATTACTGAGGCCCTTTGGATCCCCTACTGTACATTCCGGATGTTACTATATCTGTGGATTTTCCAGATTGCCAGATAAGTGCATCTACGTCTTGGGGGACATATTTCGTGAATAATATTACGTTAATATCGGATTTAGTGGTAGTTTAGTTACTCGGACAGAAATCACAAACCAGTCAGAATGAATTTCGTCGGTTGACATAGTTTACGGCTATTTTTAACCAATGAAATTCGCTCTGAATAACTGGTTTGTCATTTCTGTGCGAACAAACCTGTTAAGAACTGTACTGAGTTGCATTCAATGCTATTCGCAAAAATTTCACGGAGCCAACTGGACTGTCAGCCCCTCCATTTTTTGATTATTTTAGCAAACAAAAGCAAAAATGAATGTAAATTTTAGTGCGCTGTTAGTATCTCAAACTTAATTTTTCGTTAACTCTTCGCTTTTTCAAAAAAATGTTTTAGAAGGGCCAACTTGACACACAGCCCCCCCATTTTTTGGATTATTCTACCAAACTTCGACTTTGAAACTTTTGAAATTTTATTGTATCATGTTGCTATATTTGCGATTCCTGTTGCTTGGTTGTCGTGTTGCACAATGCACGCAAAACGCGATTGAAGAGAAAAAAATAAAATTTGAGGAAGTGAGACAGTGAATGTAACTAAAAAAAAGAGAGGGTTGGTCGGTGGCTGAAATCTAGAAACGGGATTTCGTGTAAAGGGTTGCCGACTAACTTCCAATGTGGAGAGGGGTGTGAATCAATTAAATAATTAAATATAGAGGTGCGAAGCGCTGCAGTCGACCAAATCTCGAAACAATAATGTAAAAACTTTCCACCAAAAAATACAAACATTGCACCTGGATTTGTGTTTAGGTGGGAAAGAACAATAATTTATCAAGGCCGAAAGTGAGTTCTCTAGGCCGAAAGTGACAGAAGAACAGTCACTTTCAGTCTGCTTCAAAGTAAACAAAAGTAAAGTGACATTTTCGAACCTTCAAACCAGCAGGGAATGTGAAAATTACATATATGGTTCAAAATAATAGTATATTATGTTCCACTTTTGTCATATTTGTACCTTATTTTTTCCAATAATTAATGTTTCAAAATAAAATAGTATACATAATTTGGTGGAAAGTTTTTACATTATTGCTTCGAGATTTGCTTGACATAGACATAGTATCTCTCGACAATAATGAAACACTTTCCACCTCCGCATGTAATATACTATTACATATTGTTGATAAATATGGATTGTGAGAAGCTAATTTGCGAGGTGAGAGAAAGAAAAGCATTATGGGATATGAGAGACAGCAGATATCATGCTGGATACAGCCAACGCAAATTATGGAAGGAGGTTGCGCAATTATTCACAACCGCAAAGTCGTAGGACTATGCATCCAATGGACGGCCAGCCTAATCCTACATTCTAAAAATAGTATTCACAATAATTCAACTCGAGTTCCTAAGTAGAGTAAAGAGTATTGTATAAGAGTGATAATACCTGAAATGTAAATTAAAAGACAAGCTTACTAAATGCAGTACGTAAATGGCCATTCAACCCCAGTGTACAAGTATTTCCCTGTATTCAGTGCAGCATGTATTTATGGGATAATATGGGTAATATAGATAAATAATTAAAATTGAAGTGACAATACATAACCTGAAGGGCAAATTTAATAGGTTTGTTCGGACTTAGTTCAGAATCAGTTCTGAATTGAACTGCGCTTGCGCATTTGTTTATATCGAACATAAATGAACAAATGCACATGCGCAGTTCAATTACGAACTAATTCTGAATTAAGTCCGAACAAACCTAATATCATGAGATAATATAGATAATGAATTGAAAATGAAGTAGCAATATATAACAATAAAAGGGAAAATTTAATATTGTAATAGAAGACTGCGTCGCTGTGGTGATTCATTCCAACAAGGGGTTGGTAAGGTTTGATAGGTTCCAGATATTAAGACAATACAACACACTTATCAAACCTGAGTAGTCCCTAATCCCTTGAGGGGAACCTGAGGGATAGGATTGATACCTTCCAGTGTTTTTTTGATGGCCTGGGACTGGTTCAGCGCAGAAGCAGAAGCAACTGGCCCTGGGCATTGAAGTTCAGTAACCAGAAGTCACTAAAGCTTCCATTTGTCTAGAAGAGGCTGAAGACAGGAGATACGACTTGAAATATACAGTAAGCCTAACGTTTAACTCTTTATTCAAAGTTAAGGACTAAAGCGTGACGATTAAAGGCCTGACACAAATGTACGTTATGAAACTGGACGTGGAGCGATAGGTGGGTATGTCCAATATTCGGAATTTAACCATATAATTAACAGAAACCTATGCTCATACATAGGCAATAGAGAAACACAGGGAAGACGAATAAGAAAAACCACTTACTAAAATACTTTGGCCTTTAGGAGCTGGAATAGCCCAAACAATAATTGATCACGTTGCGCTTTTTCGGCTGGTGCTAAAATAACGGATTAGCCAGATCTATGAGCGAAAACTGGACAACTTAGAAATCACCAAAATGTGCCTGAGGAATTTTCACGAACACATGATCGTGGAAAGTCCTCGACCTGAATGACTTCTGCTTGTCCCTTCAATGTCCTTTAGGAAGGTTGTGTCAAAACTCCAAGGTGAAAGGTCCTGGGGAATTTTGATGGTAGTTGGGCATGGGGCTAATTTAAATTAGGTTGGTCGGTCATTGACCTTATTCGGAGAGCTGTCAATCTAATCAATCTAATCGAATCAGAGAATCAGCTGTTCTAATGTAAATATTGTGATTTTATTTATTAATGAATTATTTGATTATTTATTTCAAGCCTACTAAAAGGAAATCCATTATTCAACCTCTAACTCGATGATTCTGGGAAGAATGAAAGTTTTGAAGAAAAGTGTAACCACAACTATTGGAAAGAAAACAGGGGCTTGATGAAGGTATGCTATTAGTGAGGCGAATACGCGTATTTCCTTTTATTTTGGCCCTGGAAAAAACAGCCCCTAACAGACAACAAATTTGAGGTTCAAAATCTCGAAGACTAGACAGCTATTATGTCCGTTTTTGCTCAATTTTCCAAGCTTTCAATCCTCTATTGAAAACATGGACTTAATTTGAGAGAAAATTCTTAGAACTACCTACAGTCACTTTCAAGAGCATGATTTTTCTTAATTTGCAGCTGAAAACAAATTATTTGCAAACAACATTTCTAGAAATTTCAAAATCTATCATGGTAACAACCAGTCGAGGCTCAAACTCAAATATCCTTCTAAAGTGGAATCCAATAACTCTAGGCATTCTAAAATGCTTAAGCCGGTTCAAGAATTTAATTTCACCGCGAACTATTTATTTTGGAACCGGAACAGCACACGAAAACCTCAAGTTATGGTTCTGTTGAATCTCTAGAACCAGTAGAATCGATTCCAATTGAACCGCGAACAAAGAAGTGCAACTAAAAATTCGGAATTTAGTGATCGAGATGTCCGCCAACGACAATAACATGCTGCATTTACCACTTCCAAGTCAAGTTGATTTTGACAATTTAGTAACTATTTTATCATTGAACAATAAAATTAGAACAGGACCAGAACCCATGTTGAATTTGTTTACATTTGAAAAATAGGTATGTAAAAACGTGCTTGGAAGCATTAAAGTGTAAATAAAACATTTATTCAAATTTTTTTTTGCAAGCTTGGCATTTTATTTTGATAGTAGTAGTTTTCGGAAATTAATCTAATCAGTTAGTGAACTGTGAACTCGGTAGTTGTCACGTGATTAGCTCGATTTATGATCACGAGCCAAATAATCGCCATCTAATTTCCGTATACCTTTGCCGATCGTTTCCCCTTCCAGTTGATCGTTTCCGTCCGCTCCACTGCTGATGGTTTTACGATCCAACGTTGCCACGAATCGAAAAAATGTTAGGATTTTCGGCTTTGAATGTTCAAATATTATTTTTTAAGAAGGGTAAATGGAAAAGTTCCAATTATTTAAGAATTTATCCACGATGCAATGGTACCTACCTAATTACAACATTCAGTTGGTCATACATTTTCGCTTTCAAGCTGTGAAAGAGTGTCGAATCTGAAAAATGTGGCCTCTCCTTGGTTCAATAGTCCAATTTATTTATAAGATAAGCTTTGGTGTATAGTTGCATTTTGTCGGCGTCTTTTGCTGTTTAATTTGCTCCAATAAACAATTTTACAAATTGGTAAATGTCCATACATTATTTTATAAAAATGTGACAAAGAAGCTCTGCTCTCCAATGGGCCCGTTTTATTAGCGTAGTTTTTAACCTGCGAAAAACCACAATAGGATCGGGCCTCCATTAATTTATACAATTTTCAGAAAAATGGAAAAACCTACCAAACCATCAATGGACGGGAGCGATAGCAGCGAGGAGGAGTACTTCGTTGTTGAAAAGATCATCGATCGCAGGATAAAGAATGGCAAAGTGGAGTACTTCGTGAAGTGGAAGGACTACAGCGAGGAGGAGAACACATGGGAGTCGGACTACAACCTGGAGTGTCCCGTTTTGATCGAGAAGTTCGAAAAAAACAGGAGGGCTAACCCTTACAAGGAAAAGACAGATAGTAGCGGCAAAGATTATGATGAGAAACGGTCCAGTAACGGCTCTAACGATTCACACAAAGAAGATGAAAAACAGGTTAGAATTTTTGGTTGCATTATATATTTTGTTTAGACCAATTTATTATTTTTTGTTTCCTGTGTGTGAATTTTGTAAATTGACACTCCAAACTCCCTCAAAAATAAGTTCTCTACTTTAGTTCAATTGAAACTTTATGTTGTAAGACCAGCCAGGAAACTATCGACTAATAGGTGATAACACTAATAACTAAAGGTTACTAATCTATTCTTATTTCTTTTAGGCTCAAAGAGACGACTCCGAAAAAAAAGTTGGCTGACGTTGAAGCTCAGATATAGTTTACTACAAATTTATAATTACCTAGTGTTAATAATTTTGTGTTTATTTTACCATTTGCTATAGTTAACTATTGAAATGTTATTTTTAATACATAGTTCTAGTAACTAAGAGCAAATCAAATATGTAAGTTTTGTTCACTTATTGCACTCGACACCATTTATTATTATCTATGTCTCTCTCCATTACTGAAAAGCGTAATAGATTTATGATCAATTATTATCAATTGAACTAGTTCATAAGGCTCAAAGTGTGGTACAACCCATTTTCATGTAATTTACCATTTGTGCTTCTGATTAGAAGGCTGTGCAAACTTTTACAGCATTTTTTGTTGCTGCTAGCTGCTAGTGTTTAGGGAATATATTCTCTGAAAAAAATAGGCATCTTTAAGGCCCCGGAAAGTCGGTAACCCACAGGAGAATCTGTGTTATTTTTCTGTGAGTAACCGATTGAGAAGTGCTTTAATCAACCAGCAACCACTGGGCTTCGATTATAAACTGGCCGTGCAGCAAACTTCCAGCTGGTCTTAACGTCTCTCGAATTTGTATTATTTTTTTATTTTATTCTATGAAATAATTATAACAATTTTTTTTTCAAATAAATTTTTTTTGTATATAAATATATCATGTACCTATTTTATATCAACGGTTTTCATGAGTTGGTTTCCAATTTGCAGAATCAGGGTGAGCTATTATGCGCACAGTAGTCCATGCATATCCCCATAATAATGGAAACCGAAACAAAAAGTTCATAAGAAACTCGTAGATAGATATGAGTCCATACTACATCCTAAAATTTTTTTCCAATGGACAGGGTAGCCCAATAAATAGCGGTGATCCTAAATTAGTTTTTTTTTTAAATGATTCTCCCTGTATATTTTCACATTTTCGAATTTATAATGTAATTTCAAGTTACTTTTTGGGCTTTTTGAGTATTTTTTTTTTCATTTGATGAAGCAACTGTTAATTTATATGTATTTATTTTTTTTAGTCTCTTTAACCCTTTGTTAGTGTGATGGGGTATATCATATTCAATCACGGCTATTTACAGCTGTAAAACTAAAATTGCAACAGATACAGATGTCTAGCGTCAAGTAGCTTCAGTTCATGGAAATGGTAATTGATCGCACCCACAGTAGTAGCGTCTCTCTGAACCTTTAGTATGAAACCAGATTACTGCAAAGACGGTTAGGGCATCATGGTCATGGTATATCCCGGAACACTATTCACGTAACTTTTTGTGTACAGGATTTTAAATGGTAGTAGGTAGCAAAGACGTAAATTTTTCAACTTCAATGAAATTGGTTTGATTCGAGTTGTACGAAATCTTTTTAGATATTTGTTAGCAACAATTTTGAGTGTAGTACGTCGTGATACTTGGTTTTGTATTGTTAAATTCAAAATATAGTTGTTGCTCTTCTTTTTCCGCAAGGCAGAATTGCTTCTCCATTTTTAGCTTCCTAGATATAGGAAGCTATGGTGATAGCCCGATTTTGAACATGTCAAAATTTCATTAAATCTTGACGTTTTGGATCATTTTAAGCCTTTTTGGCAAGGTAGCACATTTCCGTCTGTGTGTATGTATGTATGTGTGTGTGTGTGTTGGCAATTTTTTGTCCGGGCCGGTCCAACCGGGCTGGAAGCATACAGGGTGTTTCACGAACATCGAAACAGAGGCGTTTTAAGGTCGATTAAAAAAAATGCTCGGACACGTCATTTTTGTAATCAAGGGGGAAACTTTTGGAAGATGGGGCGAGTGGTACCTTGTTTTATTAGTTTTATTAGTTCTCAAGATATTCACTGTCAAATTTGCCATGGGATAGATAAGAAACAATCTACTAGCCCTGTTATTCTCGAATCAACACTTTCCTGACTTTCCTCACGGACGGGTCAATTTCCATTTTTGTGTGCTTCTAAAAAAATAAAAATTGGCCGTATCCCCACTATTCATTAATTTATTATGTGCCACGAAATTTCCTGATCTAAGATTTGGAAAAATACATAGAATGGTTTTGAAATATGAGTTTTTTTATTTCCAAATACCCCTATTCTATTCTATTCTCTCCTGAGGTGTGCGGACACCTGCACTAGAGCTCGTGGCTCATTGTGCCATCTGAAGTTTTCATATCAGGTCCACTCCCTTATTTATTAGTAAAACCATACCACACCAAAAAAGGTTAGGATATTGGCATTGAGTCTTCTGCTAGCTTCATTGTGTTAAGGTGTTTTCGCAATGAACTAAACAAACACACTGGAAAAGCGGCTTCATAATTGTTTCTGCGCGAGGGTTTGTGCCAGGAAGCACAACAAACAAGAGGGATTTGCATCTCTCTTTGCACTATGGAGGCTATTGAGAACAGCTATTTGAAGTGTTTGGAGTTTGGATCATTATTAATTGAGGTTAGGAAGATGGAAGATGAAGAAGCTCTTCTTCCTTTTACATCAGCCGCAATGAGTGCGAGCCAGACAATTATCCCTCAGCATTTCTGGGTTGCATACATCAAAATTTGGCACACTATGGGCCAAATTACAGTATATTTGCATTTGCAAATTTGCAGTTCAGTAAATATGGTCAACTTGCATATGTGGTCTATTTGCAGAAACGAGCAAATTACAGAAAAAGCCTGGAATTACAGAAGCTCTGCAACACCAAGATACAAATGCAGGACCTGCAAGTGTGACTTTTCGTATTACAGAAGCAGAATGCATTTGCAGGTCGCCTGCAAATTTGCGCATGGTGAAACGGTCCCGAAAGTCTTTGCAATCACTTTGACAACTTTGACATTTAAAACTGCTAAATCAGTAGCGCCCAAACACATTTTTCCAATAAATATGACGAAATTGCAGATTTTTTCTGTAATTTGCTCATTTCTGCAAATAGAGCACATATGCAAGTCGGCCATATTTGCAGAACCGCAAATTTGTAGATGCAAATGTACTGCAATTTGGCCCATAATATGCAATTTCGTCATATTTATCAGAAAAAAGTGTTTGGGCGCTACTGATTCACCAGTAGGTTTTGAAGCTGCGTGACTTTGAACAAAAAAAAAAAGTTGGCTGCTGCGCGATTCATTTACAACAGCCCCGAAATAAAATACTGATCTGGCAGGCCGGGCCGGTGCCAACGGTTTCCCGGGCCGGTTTTATGCTCCCCATCCGCCCTTGGACGTTATTGATCTTTTTTTTTCATTGATTGGTTAGAGCTCATTTTCTTTATATAATACAAAAAAAAAAAAATTAAAAAAAAAAAATTAAAAAAAAAAAAAAATTAAAAAAAAAAAATCTGAAAAACCTCAATAGGTTTCATTGGGACATTTTTGAAATTGGAAAATTGAAAAATTGAAAAAAAATTATATTAAAACCTGAAAAAATGTCAAGATCTATTAAAATGAATTCATGGTTTGAAATGACAATAATTAATGACAATGACAATCATTAATTAGGTAGTTATTTGTCTAGGAAGCGTTATGTCAAAAATTTGACATCTGGTTTATTTTTATAATAAGTAATGTATAATACGTTAATATAAACATAGCCTTTGCAAATTGTTCTGCCAGTTTCATCTCGATTTTTCTTCCTAAAAAAAATTTTTTTAGATATATTTCACATCATCATATATTTGATAAAAGGAATATGGGACATCAACTAAATACAAAATTTGTAGATAAACATGAGTACTGCATTCCTAAATTATTTTCCAATGGTCCAATAAGTAGTGGTGAGGTGACACAATGTTATGTTTTTTCAAGTGACTCACCCTGTATATTTTGACATTTCTGGATTCTGTGAAAAGAACACAAAAACGAACATCGAATCTCACGATGTTGTGTTGTACAAAATGGCCGATCCCGATCGATGATCGATGGCTTTGTCGATGGCACAGGTGGCCAGTGTTGCCACATAAATAACTTCAAAATGCCCGATCACAAAATAAATGAGAAAATACCCGCTTTTACCCGCAATGGTCAAAATAGTAAAAAAAAGAAACTTGTACAAAAAGTCATTCTCATTTGTTTTTTTATCAAAAGTTATTAGTTAAATTCCAAATTAAACAAGAGATGGCGCTCAGAGAAATTCGTATGTCACTGTATTCGGATGAATAAGAATTTAATTATATTGTTAATATAAGGTAATTGTTAATATAATAACGCCAGGGCTCGTGTTTTTTGGATAAATTTGAAATTTGCAAAATACCCGATTTTACCTTCTTCAATATTTTACCCACAAGCAATACCAAAATACCCGAATTTCGGGTAAAATACCCGCAAACGGCAACACTGCGGGCGGCACGGCTACGGCAGCACCTGCGACGGCACATGAAATAATCACTCTACTGCGCCTGTGTCGGCGCCCATAGCCTATTATAAATATCCATTGGCTATCTGTGGGATATTGAATGCAACCGTTGCAACTTCCCAATTTTAAATATCTTTAAACCATTTTTACTAACTATTATAGTTATGACAAGGCGTGATTTTTAATTCAGGTATTTGGCGATTAGCAGTACATTATATCCATGAATTACATCTACTAGATATCCACTATGGTTTTCGTTCTCGCTCGGAGTACAATATATCTAACCGATATCCATTGATTTTGAATACAAGTTAAGCTTATTTTTTCATTTTAAAAATCTATTATTCACATCTAGTAGATATCCATTATATATCCACCATGGACTGGACATTCAGTGGATATTGGGATGTCCATTAGATATACAAGGGATTTGGTGTGTTGTCTGGGTAGAGCCTTATTGCTGGATTTGATCTGAATATTTGGCACATTGAAAGAAAATGTGATCAAGGTCTCCTCTTACTTGGCACACGTCACACTGATAAGAGGGTAGAACACCTATTTTGTTTAAATGTGCTGTATAACAAGCATGTCCAAACTTTAATCGAGTTAATGTTGAGATATATCTTCTGCTGACATTGTAATTTTGGCGCCAATATTTATTTGGAATACTTGAAACAAAAAGAAAGTATATGTAGAAGAACTTCTATAGTAATTTTGCCATCTTTGATTCCATTTATGATTTATCATTGATTTAACATAAACACTTGCATCCCTCTGTACAAGATCAATTTCTGTAGGAGACCCATCCTAAATACTGTCTTCTGCTAAATTATCCACAAATTCATTTCCTTCAATTCCACTGTGTGCTTCAACCCATAGAAAGGAAATGTAATTATTTCGCCGGGTCCGCAAGTTGACTAGACTCTAGCTGTCATGTCACAGCCGGAGCAAACCCGATAATAGCCGAACAGCGAACTGTGGTGTATAGAAAATCGAGAATAGAATTTAAATATTTCTATCGTGTCTTTAACCATTCTTATTTTTATCAAAACAAAATTTCGAGTCACTTTTGACAAGAAATAATTATTTTTAAAAATGTTACATTTTTTGTAGTTCGGATTTAGGATAATAATATAGAAAAAACAAACAACCTTTTTTTTTAGTTTATTTTCGTCCTATATTTTAAGAGAGGTATCAGCCAGCGTATTATCGTGTTCAAATATTTCCGATGGTCCAGAAAAAGAAATTCGATTCATCTTACTGAACGTTAATATTGTGGAAAGTTATAGGGCGCGCTGCTCTTGGGCGGTAGAAAAGAGAGAACTATAAACCCAGTATTGAGCACTTTAAAACGTAAACAAAATGAACTACTCATCCGAACTACTCCCCTCACTTACAAATGAGCGAAAAAAGGTACCAATTACTCCACAGAGATAATAATATTGATTTTAGGTTTATTTTTGTTGTTGGGTTCCTCCTGATTTCCAATTTAAAGGAGTTCATAACAAATACAACATTTTTTTTTTAGCAGTGTATTACATTGCTCCAGTCAACAACCCTTTGCTGCAACCGAATATACACCTTCCTTCGAATTCAATGCGCTCGGCTCGGCCGCACATGTGATGGCTAGCTCTAGTCACTAGTTGCGCCATTACCTAGATTTTGCCCCTGTTCTAAGGCCTGAAATCTATGAGGCTTTCGAGTATATTGAAAATACAAAGCCATG